GCTAAGATGTGCTACTTTGAAGTTAAAGGAACAAATGGAGCTTTTCATGAAGACAAGACTAGTTTTCATATATCTCAAAATGAACTCGACAAATGTAAAAGTATTGCTGTAGAACGTGAAGCATACTTTCTTATTATTATCGAGCATTGTCTCAATCCTGCAATGATTGCCTTGGCTAAAGTCTTTGATTGGTGAGTTTCTTAAAACTGAATCTTATGTTATGTGTATGCCAAACATCTATTTGTAGGAGTAGTAACTTTGATTCAGTATCACTGGTAAACAGTAGCTACAAATGCAGATTTATTACAGTATCACCTATTGCTACCAATCAGAATAATATCGAGAGTAATGTTGACGAAGATGAAGGTTGGGAAACTGTCCGTTCTCGTCATCGTCGAGATTCACGACAATCAATAGATTCAAATAATGACAACTTCTCCCAGAATCGTGATAATTATGATCAAGGACAGCGAAATTTCACAAATGGTCGCAGCAATTACCGTGGAACACACGAAACACAGCAAAGCGATCAATCATGGCGATCGCCACAACAACGTCAACAAGGATATACACAAAACTCTCAGCCAAGGGCCCGAGGACGAGAATCCTTTGACAACACGGATCGCCACGATTACCGCGGACAGTTTAATAACCAAAATCAACCCAATGGCGCATATGGGCCAGAACAAAACAATCAATCATGGCGATCGCCACAACAACGTCAACAAGGATATACACAAAACTCTCAGCCAAGGGGCCGAGGACGTGGACGAGGTGCCTTTAATAATGCAGGTCGCAATTATTATCGTCATTGAAAAGGCAGTACGTCCTTTATTTACAATAAATCAGCATGGTAGTACTTGATATGAATATACTTGTGTGAAACAGTCGACATGATATATTGATTTGTGTTTATAGGTAGCACATCGTTTAAATCTATAAAATTGACGTGAATAAAATGAGTTTTATTAAAATCTAGATTAAAAAAAGAGCGAATAATCAAAAAATTTAAACGCGTAGTTTGGTTTTGTCTTTCTTTTTATCAGCGAGAACTCTCGGAGTTGTTGATGATTTAGCTGTTGTTTCGTACCATGTTTGAGCTTTCTGTCTTTGTGCTTCAACAGTTTGGATTTGCGATGGTCTTTGTTGTTGTTGTGACATTTTACCATTTGATTTTTGTTTCTTTTCTAAACCTCCAAGGATAACATATGTATGTTGAAGTAAAATATCGTCATCGACTTGAAATGTTTCCAGATCAACATCACTAACCCGGTCGCTCCAAAGATCCGTACGCTCGAGATACAATTGAAGCGGTGTTTCAAGGCTAACATTTGCATTGAGCACACGAATCATCAATCGTTTCAGCATTGCTATCCAGTTATCGATGTTTTTTAATGGCACAGCAATCGTATCTTTTTCGAATGTCGTACGAGTAAACACATCAAGAACACGNTCATCGACTTGAAATGTTTCCAGATCAACATCACTAACCCGGTCGCTCCAAAGATCCGTACGCTCGAGATACAATTGAAGCGGTGTTTCAAGGCTAACATTTGCATTGAGCACACGAATCATCAATCGTTTCAGCATTGCTATCCAGTTATCGATGTTTTTTAATGGCACAGCAATCGTATCTTTTTCGAATGTCGTACGAGTAAACACATCAAGAACACGCTGCCGTTCGTCATCTGTGAATGTTTCTTCAGCAAGTTCTTTTTTCACATAAGGACGCAGAACTCGATCGAATGCATTTTCTTCAATCATTTCATACAAGTCGATTATGTATTGCAGTTGTATCATTGAAAATGGTGGTCGACGAAGGATATTCTCGTTTAGACACGCATATGAATGGATATGATATTCAACGAATGTCTGAATTGTTGTTGTTCCTGTAGCATGTTCTGTAATACTATTCCTTAAATATGTAAAAACATAATCTAATGAGCCAAGGTAATTCAGAGTATCATCAGGACTCATTTCTTCGACGAGGTGCTGCAGTTTTGTTCGTTCTTCATTGCTCAGTTGGTATTGTTTGATACGAGCACGTACATCATTGATCAATGACGTGTTTTCACCGTACAATTCGAATTGATAATTGAGAAAACGTAACTTATCCGTATCGATTAATACTAATGAGCTAATCATGTTTCTTAAAGTCATTTCGATTTCTTCATAATCATAAATGAAATCGTTACCTTTGCCGTAATCATAATTCAAAACAAGACAATCATCGAATAATTTCTGACTGAGATAACCGCGATCAAGACGGAGGACGTTTTCAGGTCGAATTGCTTGAAGTGCTACATGCTTTCGTTTCGTTTCCGTATTAACCGCATGATCAAGTGTGTTGTGAAAATAGTTGACAATTTCGTTTTGTAATTCAGCCAGGGTTTTGATCGTTGCCGCCAGGACAAGACTACTTTGGTCTCGTGAGGTGTTCAACAGAAGCGTAGCGAGACTTGTGCTTTCAGCAAATTCCTTTTTGGTAACGGTTAACTGAAATTTTGGTGCTTGACAACCATACCGAATTTCCTTTAAATCTAATGCATACCAAGCATGGAGAAAGGCGTCATAAAGTTGCTTAATCACTTGTTGGTCGTCACCGGCTTGAAGATAATACGAAACTCTCTTCTCAACAGCATCATNGTCTCGTGAGGTGTTCAACAGAAGCGTAGCGAGACTTGTGCTTTCAGCAAATTCCTTTTTGGTAACGGTTAACTGAAATTTTGGTGCTTGACAACCATACCGAATTTCCTTTAAATCTAATGCATACCAAGCATGGAGAAAGGCGTCATAAAGTTGCTTAATCACTTGTTGGTCGTCACCGGCTTGAAGATAATATGAAACTCTCTTCTCAACAGCATCATTTCGTTTGATACGGTAATTGAATTTCTCGATAAGATAATTGCTAAAGGCAATGATTGGATAGAGATGCTGAATGTTGGTGTAATCATTGAAACGTTTCAAGAGAAACGTTGTCACAGGATACATTTTTTCGCCATGTGGAAGTGTTTGTATTTTGGTGATAAATTCTTCCAAAGGATTTGAAGTATGGAATGTGGTGACGTTGAAGAAATTTAAAAGAGGATACTGCTGTTCGTCTTCGAATAATTCATCAATGAAATTTTCTAATGATGGCTTGGAATCACGTTCCTGAATGAATTTCGCATATGCTTGTTTGTACTCGGTGATTTCATTGGTTATTGAATCAATATGTTTAAAGATGAGATTTTGTTCAATAAGTTGTTCAATTTGGAAAACATGTTGATTCGTATTCATGATACCACGTCGATTGAAATCATCATGTATGAGATGATTGAGTAATTTGTATATCCAAATGTAGCATTGTTGATTATCTATTGATGATTGAGCAAGTAGCTCGTAATCTTTTTCGAAATGATCGCGAAAATGCGTACGAGATGGTAATTTTAAATGTTGTTGTACATCATCTGCAGTTAAGTAATTAGCATCATGAAGAAAGAGAAGAAGACCGTGCGTTAAGAAATGCACAAAACGGAATGATATGGGACGATTCAGATGATCTGGTTTTTCTCCCATAAGACTTGTTTCGGCAGCTTTGACATTGTAATATCCTAAACGAGTCGTTCGATTGTATTCATCGATATGCTGATTAATGAGCTGGAGACCTTCGTCAATAGGCATTTTTATTTGAGGAGGATCACGTTGAATAAGAACGTTGTATCGTTCAGCACCAATGGATTTTCCGCATAGAGGACAAATATGTCGGTCATTAGGAACACCGCAATTTTGAAAAATAAATATCCACAGACATTCTTTCGAACATTGAAAAAGGAATCTTCCGCCAGGATAAATAACACCTCGTTTAAGACGATCTTGAACTTGACTGCGTACATCCATCATTTGTGTTATCACCGGATCACAAACAGTCATGCCAGGTAAACAGACAGTCGACAAATGTTGAATATAACTAGTTGGCATTTGTCGCTGCTGATTAAATAAAATGCTACCTAGTAAAGTGATTTCAGATAGCGATCGGAATGAGATGAATACGGCAACAATATTCAGAGCCATTAAACGTTTGTGGATGTCATTCAAATCCATATTGGCTCGTAGACGAAAATACGAGTCGTTCGAGAAGTTTGAACATAATGCAATTAGATATTTANACTGAAATTTTGGTGCTTGACAACCATACCGAATTTCCTTTAAATCTAATGCATACCAAGCATGGAGAAAGGCGTCATAAAGTTGCTTAATCACTTGTTGGTCGTCACCGGCTTGAAGATAATACGAAACTCTCTTCTCAACAGCATCATTTCGTTTGATACGGTAATTGAATTTCTCGATAAGATAATTGCTAAAGGCAATGATTGGATAGAGATGCTGAATGTTGGTGTAATCATTGAAGCGTTTCAAGAGAAACGTTGTCACAGGATAAACTTTTTCGTCATGTGAAAGTGTTTGTATTTTGGTGATAAATTTTTCCAAAGGATTTGAAGTATGAAATGTGGTGACATTGAAGAAATTTAAAAGAGGATACAGCTGTTCGTCTTCGCATAATTCATCAATGAAATTTTCTAATGATGGCTTGGAATCACGTTCCTGAATGAATTTCGCATACGCTTGTTTGTACTCGGTGATTTCATTGGTAATTGAATCAATATGTTTAAAGATGAGATTTTGTTCAATAAGTTGTTCAATTTGGAAAACATGTTGATTCGTACTCATGATGCCACGTCGATTGAAATCATCATGTATGAGATGATTGAGTAATTTGTATATCCAAATGTAGCATTGTTGATTGTCTATTGATGATTGAGCAAGTAGCTCGTAATCTTTTTCGAAATGATCGCGAAAATGCGTACGAGATGGTAATTTTAAACGTTGTTGTACATCATCTGCAGTTAAGTAATTAGCATCATCAAGAAAGAGAAGAAGACCATGCGTTAAGAAATGCACAAAACGGAATGATATGGGACGATTCAGATGATCTGGTTTTTCTCCTATAAGACTTGTTTCGGCAGCTTTGACATTGTGATATCCTAAACGAGTCGTTCGATTGTATTCATCGATATGCTGATTAATGAGCCGAAGACCTTCGTCAATAGGCATTTTTATTTGAGGAGGATCACGTTGAATAAGAACGTTGTATCGTTCAGCACCAATGGGTTTTCCGCATAGAGGACAAATATGTCGGTCATTAGGAACGCCGCAATTTTGAAAAATAAATATCCACAGACATTCCTTCGAACATTGAAAAATGAATCTTCCGCCAGGATGAATAACACCTCGTTCAAGACGATCTTGAACTTGAGTGCGTACATCCATCATTTGTGTTATCGCCGGATCACAGACAGTCATGCCAGGTAAACAGACATTCGACAAATGTTGAATATAACTAGTTGGCATTTGTCGCTGCTGATTAAATAAAATGCTACCTAGTAAAGTGATTTCAGATAGCGATCGGAATGAGATGAATACGGCAACAATATTCAGAGCCATTAAACGTTTGTGGATGTCATTCAAATTCATATCGGCTCGTAGACGAAAATACGAGTCGTTCGAAAAGTTTGAACATAATGCAATCAAATATTTATGGCCTAAAGGAGTGAAACAACGTAGCAATTCTTGACTGACATCATGCTCGATCAGTTGAACAAATGCACGATCAACTTCTACATTTGACTGAAGAAAACGACAATAGTACTGAATAAACCACATAAAAAGTGCATAACTAAACTTTTGTGACGAACCGTATGCGATGATAAGTTGTTTTAGCTCGTTATGTTTATTTATAGCACTAAGAATTTCACTCGTTCGTCGGAATTCTTGTTGACATTCGAAGAGAGGAGTTGGTAAAATCAGACGCCGACGAACATTTTGTGCTTGTTGATCTCTTTGATGTTGAAGAAGTCCTTTAATCCAAATAATATTCCGATTCACGTATTGTTCGTGTAAAGTATTGAGATCAACTCCAGCTATCAGTAAAAGCTGTTTGAGAGCAAATAATTGAATCGTCGAACCAAATCGAGTATTAATATTTGTTAATAATTGATCGATTCTATGTAAGACGTTTTCTTGGCTGCCATTGTTCAAAGCAAAAGCATAGATTTGCACGTAATATTTAATCCAAGCAATTGTAGCAATCAATTCGATGGTATTTACTTTGTCAACACTTTGAATTTCACGTAAATGTTCTTCGAAAGATTGATAATGTTCGACTAATTGTTGATCGATTTCACTTCCTGGAGCATCTCTCATCAAATGCATGTGAAGTCGGTTGACTACTAATTGTTGTAATTTATTGCTTTGCTCTAACGATTGATTGAACTGTTCGTAATCTTCATCAAAAGTTAATTTTCCATGGTTTTCTTTCAATGTTGATAGTAGATCAAGCTTCCGGTCAATATACGTGAGAATCTTTGCGGAATATTGCCAAAGTTCACTATGATCTTGGCTCAACAAAACGAGAACGTCGCCATACGAATCGCCATTGTCAGCTAGCCAATTTTTCAAAAATTCGACTTCTAATTTGACCAGTCTTTGGTTGCTGACATTCGTATCAACGTGGGAATTTTCCTCTTGAATCAATCTTCGTAATTGACCGATAAAATCGTCAATCGCGCGACATGATTCAAATTCACCATCAAAGCCTCGTCTACAAACATCTTTGAAAGCATCGAGTGCCCTGTCTGGTAGTAAAGCTGCCAGACATCGTACAAGATCAATGAACGTTCGAAGTTTTTCCAGATTGTCAACTAAGTACGATGATAAACTATAAATGCCGTGTGCTATTAAACTATATGTAGTTGTGATCTCTTCAATACTCCGCACACGATCAATAGATGCTGATGAGAGAATCAATTCGACTAGATTCATCAAACTTGTTTCAATCATTGGGTCACCTTGACATTTAAAGATCCATTTCTTGTCAATATGTGTGGCTTTGGGTGGTAATTGATAGAATTGTTGATTAGCTATGACAAGGGAATAGAATTTCGAAGGTTTGATTTCACCAATAGGATTTTCGATGAATTGTTTTTCAATTTCGAAACGAATTTCATCTTCATTGATTAGTTGTAAGCCGATTTCAAATAGGCGAAGAACATCGGTAAATTCAGCGTGTTGAGCAAGAAATACTCCTGCATACTCTTCTAACGATCGTGTTGAATTACTCGTTAACAAAATATATGCTAGTTCTGATGACAGATGAATATTTNAGCTATCCGTAAAAGCTGTTTGAGAGCAAATAATTGAATCGTCGAACCAAATCGAGTATTAATATTTGTTAATAATTGATCGATTCTATGTAAGACGTTTTCTTGGCTGCCATTGTTCAAAGCAAAAGCATAGATTTGCACGTAATATTTAATCCAAGCAATTGTAGCAATCAATTCGATGGTATTTACTTTGTCAATACTTTGAATTTCACGTAAATGTTCTTCAAAAGATTGATAATGTTCGACTAATTGTTGATCGATTTCACTTCCTGGAGCATCTCTCATCAAGTGCATGTGAAGTCGGTTAAGTACTAATTGTTGTAATTTATTGCTTTGCTCTAACGATTGATTGAACTGTTCGTAATCTTCATCGAAAGTTAGTTTTCCATGGTTTTCTTTCAATGTTGATAGTAGATCAAGCTTCCGGTCAATATACGTAAGAATCTTTGCGGAATATTGCCAAAGTTCACTATCATTTTGGCTCAACAAAACGAGAACGTCGCCATACGAATCGCCATTGTCAGCTAGCCAATTTTTCAAAAATTCGACTTCTAATTTGGCCAGTGCTTGGTTGCTGGCATTCGTATCAACCTTGGAATTTTCCTCTTGAATCAATCTTCGCAATTGGCCGATAAAATCGTCAATTGCGCGACATGATTCAAATTCACCATCAAAGCCTCGTCTACAAGCATCTTTGAAAGCATCGAGTGCCCTGTCTGATAGTAAAGCTGTCAGACATCGTACAAGACCAATGAACGTTCGAAGTTTTTCCAGATTGTCAACTAAATACGATGATAAACTATAAATGCCGTGTGCTATTAAACTATATGTAGTTGTGATCTCTTCAATACTTCGCACACGATCAATAGTTGCTGATGAGAGAATCAATTCGACTAGATTCATCAAACTTGTTTCAATCATTGGATCACCTTGACATTTAAAGATCCATTTCTCGTCAATATGTGTGGCTTTGGGTGGTAATTGATAGAATTGTTGATTAGCTATGACAAGGGAATAGAATTTCGAAGGTTTGATTTCACCAATAGGATTTTCGATGAATTGTTTTTCAACTTCGAAACGAATTTCATCTTCATTGATTAGATGTAAGCCGATTTCAAATAGGCGAAGAACATCGGTAAATTCAGCGTGTTGAGCAAGAAAAACTCCTGCATACTCTTCTAACGATCGTGTTGAATTACTCGTTAACAAAATATATGCTAGTTCTGATGACAGATGAATATTTGTTTCATTCAAATGGAATGCAATTTGGTCATAGAAGTAATATTTAAATAATTGCTTATCATCAAAAACGAGTTTTATGAAATCTTCACCGTAGATGCTCGCTGTCTTCAGTTGCTCAATAGCGAAACGAATGGAATTATAGGTAGTAGTATTATCATCGTCGAATTGTTGAAGGTTTCCACGAATCGCGCGAATATTTTCATATTCCATCGCTGCACAAGGCAGTTTCACATTGAAATCCAATTGAACTTCAATGACATCACGATTCATCACCGTCCAATCGATATTTTCTATTACGCGGTCGAAACATTCTTGCCAGAGCTTGGATAAACGTGTTCGAACTTTCGGATCATTCACATTTGAAAGAAAGTAATACGCATGGATTAAGTTATTCTGCTCAAGATGCGCTAATAGTAGCAAAAGATGAGCTTCATAAAATGTTGATAGCGTTGCTTGAAACGCATCGCTAAATGAACGTGAACCTGCAGTGATGAATCCGTTTGTTAGAAGATCAACTCGCCAATCATTGAAACGTGTATTGTTTAGCGATTTCGAATTTTGTATTAATATTAGTAAACTATTCTCGACAATTGAACGAAGATGAAGTTCGTTATTATTAAAATTCTGCTGCGTTAGTTGTTGGAAGATCAAATGACGTCGTTTATTGATTCGTTGTTCGTCGTCTTTATGTGTCGCAGTATATCGAACTTTTGCTAAACATTTATCAACCAGATCGTCAAATATACATTCAGAAAGAACATATTCAGCTTGAAAGACAAGATCAAAGTATGATGGATTGCTGAGTGTCGTCAATGGAATGAACATATGTTTATTTAAATCATCGATCATGTCTTTGGGCCAGTTATTGAATACGACATCATTGGTGATTTGATTTAGCAAGTTTCGTTGCAAATGAAATATAAGCCAAACGCCACGATTAGTTGTTGATGTGCGTTCATTGAGTAGAACATGTTTCAATGAGAGAATATGTTTATGTTCACTATGATAATCAACACGAATAAGAAGAAGACGAATATTTGACGTTGCTTGATAATGCCGTTTGATTTGCTTTGCTAGCTCAAGTTCAGTTTTGAATGTACTCAACTTAACTTCTTCGACATAGTCAGGCAAGGCGTGAAGTTCATGGTAGATTTGGGTATAAGTGTATATTATACGAGGAGAAGAATTTACTGAATTTGTCGAAAAATCTCCCATTAATTGCGTAAAACTAATCTTTTGATGAGTATCATAGTATTGTTCGATCAATTGTTGATTTTCTGGATTTGGTTGAAGAGACAGAGCAAGAGGTAAATCAAATGAACTCGTACGTAATAGTTTAGCCTGACATGTGCTTAGAATATATCGACGGTCTTCATCAGTTTCTTGACTGTCGAGAGATACATTCAGTTCTTCGAATGTTTCAATAACAAGATTACAAATTTGGTCTTGACTATAATTCACAAATAAATGTTGTAATAAAGGGAAATGATTGCCGATGTTTTTTGGTAACAATGTATCAACCCAACTATCCAATTCCATTTTAATTGATTTGTGTCGTCGATGAATCAATGCTTCAATGTCAATTAAATGTTTCTCGAAGCGATTTAGAAATGGTGGGTCACATTTGTCTAAATCTCGTTTATGAATAAAAACCACACAATAAAAATCATCATGAACAAGACATCGTGGATGATACAGTGGACCTAATGCAATCCGACAGTATTTTTTTCTTGCTGATACTGCAAAATTTTGATTAAATAAATCATAGAGATTATCATAAACATGACCCATCTGTCTCATNTCAATTAAATGTTTCTCGAAGCGATTTAGAAATGGTGGGTCACATTTGTCTAAATCTCGTTTATGAATAAAAACCACACAATAAAAATCATCATGAACAAGACATCGTGGATGATACAGTGGACCTAATGCAATCCGACAGTATTTTTTTCTTGCTGATACTGCAAAATTTTGATTAAATAAATCATAGAGATTATCATAAACATGACCCATCTGTCTCATGATTAAAGTTATGTTAGTTTCAGCATAAAGAATCACATCCATCAAAACACGATAGTTATATTGTTCAGTATATGTGTTACCGGATAGAAGATCACCTGCAAACGAACTACCAACGAGTGTTCGTACTCCTATATGACGCTTTTGTTGATTAATATATATGAAACGTTCAACGTAATCAATCGTACTTTCACTGTCACCGATAAGCATAAGGTACCGGCCGGCACGATTGCTAAGCGTATGATCGAGAAGTAGATTGAATGACGGACAGTTATATTCATTTAAAAGTGTTCGTTGATTGATATATTCACAAAAATGTTCCCATAACAATAATGATCCATCGAGAACCCCGTCAAAGTTTGCTTTTAGCTGTTGCCGAATGATTTTATAAACATCTTCCGTATTGCCAGTTGACATCAACTCACGAACAATACTTTTGATTAATGAGTAATAATCCCTAAGACCGAAATAATTTTCATGATCCGCTTGTGTCTCTTTCAAATTTTCGCGAAGGTCATAATAGCCTTGAGAAAGACTTTTGATAATAAGTTCATCAAGTTGAATCGTTCGTCCGCCAGGTTGAGATTGCATACTGGCACAGATAGTTTTTCCAGTCAATTCAAGATCCTCGACAGTTGGTTCTGGTGCAGAAAGGTACAGTGCTCGATTCATTTTCGATGCATCAAGACGCCAATTAGAGATGCCAACAAAGCCGTATTGATTGTTTTCTACCTCGAGTTCAGCATGTAGAACTTTTAATGGATTATGTGGCGAAAGTTCAGCCAAGCCGATCTCATCGAACACAATCACCGGCAACAGTTCTTCTTTACTCTTCACTCGAGAATAGTTTGATGCACGCTCGAATACTTTGATAATGCTTTCCGAAGTACAATTTTGTGAACCCTGAAAAGACACAGCCACAAGTTCAGGTAAAGTTTGAAAATATGGATCCTTGGAATTTCTTCCACGAAGGTTACTTATTAGGATCTGAATTGCTGATGATTTACTACTACCAGGCTTTCCACATAAGAAAACGGGTATACGATTGAGAATACAAGCAAAGAGAACAAATATATTGTCACGTAACGCACGATTGAACGCTGTACCCGATGGCAATTCCATTTTCTNAAAAGACACAGCCACAAGTTCAGGTAAAGTTTGAAAATATGGATCCTTGGAATTTCTTCCGCGAAGGTTACTTATTAGGATCTGAATTGCTGATGATTTACTACTACCAGGCTTTCCACATAAGAAAACGGGTATACGATTGAGAATACAAGCAAAGAGAACAAATATATTGTCACGTAACGCACGATTGAACGCTGTACCCGATGGCAATTCCATTTTCTTATCGATTAATTGCATTTGTTCACATTGAAGGATGTTCTCAGCTAAATAGTTCGACACTTTATTTAGATCAGGATATTGCTTAGTGATGATTTCTTGCATTTTATCAATATAGATCTCCTTCATTTTCACAGAGCGTAATCGGAAATAGTAACAGAATAGTAATGCAATGAAACTGGCCCGATGAGAAAAGCTTGATCTTTCTTTTAGGTCATTTGTAGCTGCACGTTCATTCAATGAATGAAAAAACCAATTGTAAAGTCGACAAAAGCGTTTAATATCTCTCAAGCTTACACTACTAGTATCTTCGACATCACGAAAATGATTGTGAGATGCAATAAGAAGATCGACAGTAAGTCTTAATAAGATCGAGTCGCGAGATAAACCATTGCATACATTTAACATTGTTTCGATATAGGCTCTCTCTGTTGCTTCATTCAAATGTCCGTAATCCCAGATATATTCAAGCATTGTCTCGGGTATCGGTACAACGGTATATAAAAGACGTCGATTTACACCAGCCCAAAGACGTTCTTGCATTTCGTAACGAGTTTTTCTCAATCCGATATACGCATCGTCGTTGAGTTGAATTTTTAATGTTTTGGTACGACGTGGATTGCAAGCGCCTAAGAAAACCATATTGGAAGGCAAAGCTTCGCCAAGAAGAGTCCTTTCACACATGATCTCTTTGAGTAAACCAATATTACTTGTTGTATTAAATTCGTCAAAGAAAATCCACAAACGTTTATTTTTAACTTGACATTGCTCAGCTTGTGTTATATAATCTTTCACAGTTGTGATGATTTGTTTCAAGTCAACACCTGCATGAATATGAAACACTCTCAGATCATCGTCCAACATTTTCTCACATAAGAATTGGATCAGAGCTGTTTTACCACAACCTACAAAATAAGGTCTTTCAACGAATGTATGTTGCAATGAACACTTCGCTTTACCTGTTTCGCCCATAATTAACACAGGAATATTACTTTGTACTCGCATGTAAATCATAAGCATTTTGACGAAGTTGTCTGGAGTTAGAACGTNAAAAGACACAGCCACAAGTTCAGGTAAAGTTTGAAAATATGGATCCTTGGAATTTCTTCCACGAAGGTTACTTATTAGGATCTGAATTGCTGATGATTTACTACTACCAGGCTTTCCACATAAGAAAACGGGTATACGATTGAGAATACAAGCAAAGAGAACAAATATATTGTCACGTAACGCACGATTGAACGCTGTACCCGATGGCAATTCCATTTTCTCATCGATTAATTGCATTTGTTCACATTGAAGGATGTTCTCAGTTAAATAGTTCGGCACTTTATTTAGATCAGGATATTGCTTAGTGATGATTTCTTGCATTTTATCAATATAAATCTCCTTCAGTTTCACAGAACGTAATCGGAAATAGTAACAGAATAGTAATGCAATGAAACTGGCCCGATGAGAAAAGCTTGGTCTTTCTTTTGAGTCATTTGTAGCTGCACGTTCATTCAATGAATGAAAAAACCAATTGTAAAGTCGACAAAAGCGTGCAATATCTCTCAAGCTTACACTACTAGTATCTTCGACATCACGAAAATGATTGTGAGATGCAATAAGAAGATCAACAGTAAGTCTTAATAAGATCGAGTTGCAAGATAAACCATTGCATACATTTAACATTGTTTCAATATAGGCTCTCTCTGTTGCTTCATTCAAATGTCCGTAATCCCAGATGTATTCAAGCATTGTCTCGGGTATCGGTACAACGGTATATAAAAGACATCGATTTGCACCAGCCCAAAGACGTTCTTGCATTTCGTAACGAGTTTTTCTCAATCCTATATGAGCATCGTCGTTGAGTTGAATTTTTAATGTTTTGGTACGGCGTGGATTGCAAGCGCCTAAGAAAACCATATTGGAAGGCAAAGCTTCGCCAAGAAGAGTCCTTTCACACACGATTTCTTTGAGTAAACCAATATTACTTGTTGTATTAAATTCGTCAAAGAAAATCCACAAACGTTTATTTTTAACTTGCAATTGCTCAGCTTGTGTTGTATAATCTTTCACAGTTGTGATGATTTGTTTCAAGTCAACACCTGCATGAATATGGAACACTCTCAGATCATCGTCCAACATTTTCTCACATAAGAATTGGATCAGAGCTGTTTTACCACAACCTACAAAATAAGGTCTTTCAACAAATGTATGTTGCAATGAACACTTCGCTTTACCTGTTTCGCCCATAATTAACACAGGAATATTACTTTGTACTCGCATGTAAATCATAAGCATTTTGACGAAGTTGTCTGGAGTTAGAACGTATTCATTTCGNAACACTCTCAGATCATCGTCCAACATTTTCTCACATAAGAATTGGATCAGAGCTGTTTTACCACAACCTACAAAATAAGGTCTTTCAACGAATGTATGTTGCAATGAACACTTCGCTTTACCTGTTTCGCCCATAATTAACACAGGAATATTACTTTGTACTCGCATGTAAATCATAAGCATTTTGACGAAGTTGTCTGGAGTTAGAACGTATTCATTTCGTAGTTTCTCTGCGATACTACTTTGAAAATTCAGTACGTCATTGTAATCGAATGTTCGAGGTCGATAAAGCAAATCTTTTCCGGAACATTTGAGACATTGTTTTTCCTGATATTCGTACTGTCGAAAGCATGCCGAACAAATCGACTTATTGAAATATTTTCTCGAAAGTGAAGCTAATTTAATAAAGAAATCTGTGTGTGTAAGTTTGTTGTAGTCAGGGAACATGGTATCTACGGTTATATTCCGATTTTGCTTCGATTCTCGATAATATATTGCGAAATAATCAATAAGTGCACGGGGAATATGAGTTGTTTGCTTATAAATAAATAATGGCTCGTCAGTAGCTGTAAGGATCATCATAAATGGCTGAATTTTATCCCAACGAACAATAGCGTCACTGTATGATACTAATTGATCATTGCCGATAGATCGTTGTTGTTTCCGGACATTTTCGACTGAAATTGAGGTAAATTGGTTCGAAGATTGAAGTAAAGTTTGAATAAGATCCATACGAAGTTTTGACTGGGGAACATATTGAACAAGAAAATAACCACAACGAGAAAAACCTGTAAATAGACGATAGAACACCGCAATGTAAATCGATAGTTGGGTCCATGTGATAAAACGCTCATCCTTGTTCTTAAGAAAATGGTCGCGAATAAGATGAGAACACATGTTTATGTCTAATTTCTTGAAAATCTTAGAATCTATGTTCTGCGTTACAATGCTTTTATTTTCGATCAATTGTAAATAATTGGCCACGGTTTGAATCTCGGGCTTGTCTACATCGAGAATAGTCCAATCAACATCATCGATATTCTCTGATTGTGTAATGTGTCGAAAAAGTGGAATATCGACCAGAGTTGATTGATACGATGCATCAATTTCGACATATATGAGAGTATCTGCAGGGATTGCCACAGCTACTTGACCAAATCGAAAACTTTTGAAAAGAAGCAAACAATAAAGAATTTCATTCAGTTGTTGGCTATCGTCAACGGTACCGATATCGAAGTGAATGGCAGCTGACTGAAGTTGAGAATATTTTGAACGAAGTCTTTTCGCTAATATGTCAACATCATAATCGCCAGAAATAGGAAACTTCACATACTTCTTCTTCAACAATTCAACCTCCTTACGAATACGAACTGATTTTCCTAAGCCAGTTATTCGTGACGTAACTAATAGACAACCTTGAATTGCGCACTGTAACTTTGTACGAAAATCACTATTACTAAGTAATTCATGATCACGTAAGAAGGTAAGAATTCGCATGGATTGAAGACCATTGATTATTTGTTGTTCTGCTGGTGCTGAAGTTGTCACAATACCGATTCGAAACATCTGATGAGGCCGTTGTCCCATCAATGAGTGTAACAGACGAACGGCCTGATCCTGGATTGATTGTGAGAGAAGTTCAGGTCGAATGAGTTGATGAAATGAATTCGAGTAGAAGCAACGATAGATAAAGGCACGCATTTGAATCCAATTCGTTCGTGTTTGGCAATAGAAAATACGGCAAACCGATGGTGTAGTCGAAGTTAGATCAAATAATGAAAGAATAGCGCGAAGAACGCCTTCAGATGTTGTTTCAACAAGAAGACATTTTTTCATTGCCGAATTAGCTTGTTGATTGTTGATTCGTTGTTTTTGAGCAAGTAAATTGCCAAGATTTTCTAATCGTTCTTTAGGATTCTGTAGTTTCTCATGCGGTCGGGCAATCGACTCTGGCTCAATACCGATATATTTCAGCAAATGATAACCGGGATCAGCTAACGATGAACGACGATAGATATAATCCTCAATTTGCCAAAACTGATCATCAGAAAAATAAGTTAAACTAATGTGTGTCTCATACATATTGCATAGGTTTGTCTCCCAATCTTTNCCAAGATTTTCTAATCGTTCTTTAGGATTCTGTAGTTTCTCATGCGGTCGGGCAATCGACTCTGGCTCAATACCGATATATTTCAGCAAATGATAACCGGGATCAGCTAACGATGAACGACGATAGATATAATCCTCAATTTGCCAAAACTGATCATCAGAAAAATAAGTTAAACTAATGTGTGTCTCATACATATTACATAGGTTTGTCTCCCAATCTTTGAGCAAAATAGTTAGCTTCTTGTTATCTTGTTGCAATTCATCATATTTCCCATCAATACATGGAAACGATTTTGTACCCTGGAGAAAATTACCAACGGATGGATGGCCTGATGTATACAAATTTGTTAAATGTTCAATAGTGGATTCGATTAGAGCTGCAAATTCAACAAAATTTTGTAATCGTTCTTTTTCATGTTCACTGTCAGCTTGTGATTTTTTTCTATTATTAACATTGCTCGAATGTTCAAGAAGACGTGCACGATCACGAAGTTCACTAATATCAGCCAAAAGCAGTTTTGCTCGTTTCTTTGTGTCAGTAGTAGTTGTTTGACTAGGTGGAAGTTCCACATTGACGTCAAAAGTCGCATCATAATGCAAAATGCGTACAAAACAGATAGTTGATTTTTGCAAAATTTCCGCAATTTGACGTCGTTTCGATTGTTCTTTATCGGTTAATTCTAAATGAATACGTTTGATACTTGAAACAGAAAGAGATGATGACTCAAGACATTTGAGTAAATCTTTGAATTGATCATTTTTCCACACTTCTGCGAAACAATCATTAAGAAGTTTGAGTTGAAATGGTTGATCTTTCAATTGCTGTTGTTTAATGCATATAGCTTCGTAAGAACGATCAATGAAGTTTTTAACAATTGCAAAATCAAACACAGTCTTTGTATTGACTAATGTTTCATCCCAATCATTGACTACCTCTTGTAAATTGTAAATATCATCTGCTGTAAGAGAATGAAGAAATTCGAAAAGATCCGAAGACGAACTGTAATAAGAAATGAATGTAAGTACGTTGTCAGAAAAGTGTTCTTTTATTTGTTTTCGGTATTCTTCATAAATTGAAGCACACTCTTCGCCTGTTGTACTTTCGGTAACGGTGAGAATAGCAGCAAACGATGTTGCATCGTAGGCAATTGATAGCTTGCTGTGCAGTTGTTCCAAGCCAATACAAACATGCCGAATTTGTACTGAACTCTTGCAAAATGACAGAATGCAAACAAGTTGTTGTTGAGCTTTTGGATCAAGGAATGGTCTAAGTAATTCAAGATCATTTTCAGCATGCTGGATACTAGGAAAGAGCTGAAGAATATGTTTAACTGGAATACGTTGAAGTGAAGTGCATATTCGACGTATTCTGTCAACAAACTGTTCAGAACATCGAATAACTTCCTCAAGAATATCCAAACAATTTTTATTTTTCGCTTCTGTTGTTGCGCATGGAATATCAACCTCTTTATCATTGAGATATACTACAAAATTCAAATTTATATATATCAATTATAGTTGCACCCGAAACATACGTAAACTACTTCTTAAGAGTGACTTATCTCCCATGCGCCATTCATTCTCAGCTTCTTCAGACCGTTGAACACTAGTTGTTGGTTCACTATTGAGATACACCCGCCAGCAATGTACATTTATTAATGGATTGAGTTTTTCAGCAAATGGTATAATATCCTGCAACTCTTTTGGAATCTGAACTGATTTGACAGCATCTCGTTGAAAACGATCTTGCCAATTTTTTATTTGACTGAGATATATATCCTTATCACATCCATGTTGGCAATATTCGTTGAGACATGTTACTATTTTCTTATTTGTTTCTAGTTTAGCTTGCATATCTTGGCGAGTTGCATCTAAAACTGCTTCTAAAGTGCCTTTTTCTCCAGACGCATGAATAACTAAGGTCCATATTTTACGAACAACAGTTTTCTCCTCCGAAGAATAACCTTCCCATGTCCACACGTTACGGGCTGAGCAACCATTTAGCTTCCACTTTTGCCATACCGAGGCTAAATATTGGATTATTTGTTCGTAAGCTGGACATTTCTTTAATGATGGATCAAAGAGAATAGCATATATCAAGCCGTCTTGAGTTGGGAATATATAGGCATCATTCCAAATAGTCTCGTCAGTTATTTTGATTGATGATACTGTGTGAGCAATCAATTCTTTTATGAGTATACTTTGCTGCTTATGTTGCTTATCAATGTTTATCAACTGGACCAGTGGATTGTGAGAACTTTGCATGTCGTGCAGATAGCGTGTTTTAGTTGTGACTTCATCTGTGTGGAATTTGTTTTTAAATATTTGAATAAATTGGGAATTTTTCACTGGGTAGAGACTGGTTTTGAGTAAACTGAAGATGTTACCTATGTAGAAGAATACAACAGATTTATGGTTAATACTATTTTTTATATATCTATGGAGCAAACTATAGCAATGATAAAATAAGCTGCCATCAATCACGGAGATATTATCATATTCGGATAATGATTCTTACCTTGATTAAAACATGTATTTGCCATATATGTAACAAAAAATGTTGTGCGATCCTGATCGTTTGGCGCGCCATTTATCCAGAGTTCAATAAGCGGATCCATTCTTTTGATAACATTTGAGAATAATTCCTGATTATAAATAAGACAGTTTGTCCATTGTATAATGAGCGTTTTATAATCAATCCAAATCGCATCCGGTTCACATAAAAAAAATTGAAGCCAAACGATAAAATAATCCGTTTTTAGATCATCTCGACGACTAAGCATTCGTGACAAATACTCTTGTCGATCAAAACCATATAGTAGGTATGGATGATAAGAACGGAAAATGATGTCTCGCATAAGCGGAAACTCATCGATTGAAATGTGATGATTTTTCTCATATAACTTTTGTTGAACTGTATCGCGTACTGTAGCACTNCCAAGATTTTCTAATCGTTCTTTAGGATTCTGTAGTTTCTCATGCGGTCGGGCAATCGACTCTGGCTCAATACCGATATATTTCAGCAAATGATAACCGGGATCAGCTAACGATGAACGACGATAGATATAATCCTCAATTTGCCAAAACTGATCATCAGAAAAATAAGTTAAACTAATGTGTGTCTCATACATATTGCATAGGTTTGTCTCCCAATCTTTGAGCAAAATAGTTAGCTTCGTGTTATCTTGTTGCAATTCATCATATTTCCCATCAATACATAGAAACGATTTTGTACCCTGGAGAAAATTACCAACGGATGGATGACCTGATGTATACAAATTTGTTAAATATTCAATAGTGGATTCGATTAGAGCTGCAAATTCAACAAAATTTTGTAATCGTTCTTTTTCATGTTCACTGTCAGCTTGTGATTTTTTTCTATTATTAACATTGCTCGAATATTCAAGAAGACGTGCACGATCACGAAGTTCACTGATATCAGCCAAAAGCAGTTTTGCTCGTTTCTTTGTGTCAGTAGTAGTTGTTTGACCAGGTGGAAGTTCCACATTGACGTCAAAAGTCGCATCATAATGCAAAATGCGTACAAAACAGATCGTCGATTTTTGCAAAATATCCACAATTTGACGTCGTTTCGATTGTTCTTTATCGGTTAATTCTAAATGAATACGTTTGATACTTGTAACAGAAAGAGATGATGACTCAAGACATTTGAGTAAATCTTTGAATTGATCATTTTTCCACACTTCTGCGAAACAATTATTAAGAAGTTTGAGTTGAAATGGTTGATCTTTCAATTGCTGTTGTTTAACGCATATAGCTTCGTAAGAACGATCAATGAAGGTTTTAACAATTGCAAAATCAAACACAGTCTTTGTATTGACTAATGTTTCATCCCAATCATTGACTGCCTCTTGTAAATTATAAATATCATCTGCTGTAAGAGAATGAAGAAATTCGAAAAGATCCGAAGACGAACTGTAATAAGAAATGAACGTAAGTATGTTGTCAGAAAAGTGTTCTTTTATTTGTTTTCGGTATTCTTCATAAATTGAAGTACACTCTTCGCCTGTTGTACTTTCGGTAACGGTGAGAATAGCAGCAAACAATGTTGAATCGTAGGCAATTGATAGCTTGCTGTGCAGTTGTTCCAAGCCAATACAAACATGTCGAATTTGTACTGAACTCTTGCAAAATGACAGAATGCAAACAAGTTGTTGTTGAGCTTTTGGATCAAGGAATGGTTTAAGTAATTCAAGATCATTTTCAGCATGCTGGATACTAGAAAAGAGCTGAAGAATATGTTTAACTGGAATATGTTGAAGTGAAGTGCATATCCGACGTATTCCGTCAACAAACTGTTTAAAACATCGAATAACTTCCTCAAGAATATCCAAACAATTTTTATTTTTCGCTTCTGTTGTAGCACATGGAATATCAACCTCTTTATCATTGAGATATACTACAAAATTCAAATTTAAATATATCAATTATAGTTGCACCCAAAACATACGTAAACTACTTCTTAAGAACGAGTTATCTCCCATGCGCCATTCATTCTCTGCTTCTTCAGACCGTTGAACACTAGTTGCTGTTTCACTATTGAGATACACCCGCCAGCAATGTACATTTATTAATGGATTGAGTGTTTCAGCAAATGGTATAATATCCTGCAACTGTTTTGGTATCTGAACTGATTTAACAGCATCTCGTTGAAAACGATCTTCCCAATTTTTTATTTGACTGAGATATATATCCTTATCACATCCATGTTGGCAATATCCGTTGAGACATGTTACTATTTTCTTATTTGTTTCTAGTTTAGCTTGCATATCTTGGCGAGTTGCATCTAAAACTGCTTCTAAAGTGCCTTTTTCTCCAGACGCATGAATAACTAAGGTCCATATTTTACGAACAACAGTTTTCTGCTCCGCAGAATAGCCTTCCCATGTCCACACGTTATGGGCTGAGCAACCATTTAGCTTCCATTTCTGCCATTTCGAGGCTAAATATCGGATTATTCGTTCGTAAGCTGGACATTTCTTTAATGATGGATCAAAGAGAATAGCATATATCAAGCCATCTTGAGTTGGGGATACAAAGGCATCATTCCAAATGGTCTCAACAGTTATTTTGATTGATGATACTGTGTGAGCAATCAATTCTCTGATGAGTATACTTTGCTGCTTATGTTGCTTATCGATGTTTATCAACTGGACTAGCGGATTGTGAAAACTTTTCATGTCGCGCAGATAGTGTGTTTTAGTTGTGACTTCATCTGTGTGGAATTTGTTTTTAAATATTTGAATAAATTGGGGATTTTTCACTGGGTAGAGACTGGTTTTGAGTAAACTGAAAATGTTACCTATGTAGAAGAATGCAACAGATTTATGGTTAATACTGTTTTTTTTATATCTATGGAGCAAACTATAGCAATGATAAAATAAGCTGCCATCATTCACGGAGATACTATCATATTCGGGTAATGATTCTTACCTTGATTAAAACATTTATTTGCCATATATGTAACAAAAAATGTTGTGCGATCCTGATCGTTTGGCGCACCATTTATCCAGAGTTCAATAAGCGGGTCCATTTTTTTGACAACATTTGAGAATAATTCCTGATTATGAATAAGACAGTTTGTCCATTGTATAATGAGCGTTTTATAATCAATCCAAATCGCATCCGGTTCACATAAAAAAAATTGAAGCCAAACGGTAAAATAATCCGTTTGTAGATCATCTCGACGACTAAGCATACGTGACAAATACTTTTGTCGGTCAAAACCATATAGTAGGTATGGATGATAAGAACGGAAAATGATGTCTCGCATAAGCGGAAACTCATCGATTGAAATGTGATGATTTTTCTCATATAACTTTTGTTGAACTGTATCGCGTACTGTAGCACTAGTCTCAAAAATAGATTTGATTAATTTTGTTGCCGCTTGGATCATCTCGTCGTCGCCTTCTTTTGTCTGGCTATTCATATAGTTCAGAAGAAATGCAATATCTGTCAGTTCCACTAAAAACACAAATTATAAACCTCATTTTGTACTTGTTTCATTTTTTACTTGGAAAATAGTGTTCCTTCAAAAGTTTAGCAAGTTGCTCCCGAATCCTTACTCGTAGCTCATTGTGATCATCAGAATGAGCTATTACAAATTGAGTAAGGTAACTGATATAAGTTTCAATAGTTGTTGCCATTCCAAGGTGTTCTAGTGTAAGATGGTCTTGGTCTATCAATGAAAACAAAACTGCATCCTGATCCTTGGGTAGCGTATATTGTAAGTCGTTCAACAAAGTTAGAAGCTCGATTACTAAATTTTGTCGACGTATTTCATCAGGTAACATGGAAAATAAATTCAAACAATCGAAGCTTTGTTTTCTAGACTTTTGACATATATGCAGATTGATAACGCATAATTTTATCAAGCCGTCAGCAAATGAAGGCCACTCAGTAGTATTGATTGTTGACCAAAGATTCAAAAGATTTTCGGACAAAATGGCAAGAATCATTGACGTGAATCCACGAGCTGCTTCATTTTCATATGTCGTATTTTCTTGTTTGATTGGCAGAGGATTTATCATACAGACAAGAATTTTAAGTGCAGGCAAGCTCTGCCTACATTCATTCTCAATGACCGAAAAATGTTTACGACAACAACGGAAGAACTGGTCCAAGTCCGCATATGAAAATGTTCTTTTTGTTTCCTGTAATTCTCTTGTGAATTGTCCAATGAATGGATCGAATAATTCGTACGATTTCATACTGATTATGAAGTATGAAAAAATACATAGACTTTCCCAAAATGATATGTCACCTCCTAAAAGAATTCATCAATGCAAGAAAACACATGATTTTATACTGTTTCCGTACCGGGAGGAGATATCATGGAGGCATATTTGGCAAATATAGGATCGAATAAAAAGTGATCGTGCACAGTTATATCAGCTTTGAGAGAATATGGTGTGCTATTTTCATAATGTAAATTTCGACTGCCAAGAATTGCATCAGAGATGCGTAACCGATACGCACTAACGTAGTAGGGTTTGTTTTCACGTATAATACAAAATCGTCCATCATCGTACAAGCGAACATCCAATCGGAGACGGTATAAATGTGGAGCACCTTCATATCGATGCGCAGCATTCTAAAGGAATATTATTTCAAAGATGACAAAGGTTCTTCTGTGTGTATTTCTTATAAGAACGCCTTAATCAAATCAGAAAGTTTCATTTTAAAGGTATTTTAATGTTCTAGTGGCATCTTGACCTCCGCCATCTCATAATAACTTCGAAGTAAACTTACCCCAGGTCGAATAAGAGGCGCAATATCTTCAAATATATATTTTTGTTTATGATCAAATAAAGCTTGAATTTTCCAATTACTAGACGAATCGGTTTGACGCACCAGGTATAAAGTAATGGTATATGAAGAAAATGACGCCTTGTCCACTTTATTTGTATCAATGTCTGCGTTATCGAATACTGCAGCATTATGAGAATCTTCGTTCTTTGAGTCGTCAACCATGATCGTTATTTCTATTGAGACTTCACAATTACTACGAATTGAAGAAAAGATCGCTATGAAAAAAAGAACAGAGTTATTCGTCTACAACTTTCAGTCATGAGTGTTTTTTTCTTTTCCTTTTGTGACCAAGCGTAGTATGCAAGTAACCATACAGCCATACTTTTGAAACTCATTGTATGAATCATTTTCTACAAAAAGAAAACAAAACAATTATCTTTCCCCATAGTCGTCCAATAGAACCAAATATAATATCTATTTTTTAGTTGGAAATTACCAACTATACGAATTCTACGCACCGCACAGCGGCATTTATTATTGTCTTATTTGTTAAGAGACTACACTTTCCTGTCCAAAAACATTTGCTTCGACAGGAGCTTGTTCACAATAATATACAGAAAAAGACACCAGCTTAGGGGGGAGAAGCTAACGAAAAATTCATTATAATCAACTTGTTTATTCGGACAGAAAGCGACATGGTGCGTACTTCACATGGAATAAAATGGTCGAAAATACTTTAAAAAGTGCTCGCTTTAACCTAATAATGGCACAGTTAGTTCATAACAAATGCCAGAATTAGTCTAGTATTTCCTGATAAATATCTCCAAAAATAATAGTTGCGCTGGGAGATTCAATATTATTGATTCATCTTTCTCTGTCAAAAATTTCAATTTTATTTATTGTACAGTACAACTATGTTCATTGAATAAAAATATACATGACAAAAAATTTATCGAAGCAAACTTTATTACAGAAAAGAGCAGACATCTGTCGTTTTGTTAGATAAAACATAAAATATGTAACTTCGTCTTATCTCGAAACAAACATATGCCTTTACGAAGTGCATCATTGGTGTCAAATATATGAAGATGAGTCTAATTCATCCGATAGTATACATGATATTTGCAACCAGAATTCGAGATAAATCGCGTAATAACATCTTTTAACCAATTAACGAAAAAAATTTCAATCTGCAACGATGATAATCGCTCTCCTTTCAATAGCAATTCTTTGAAAACTTTTCATAGATATGCGAACAGTTATATAATATCCTATTGCAATGATATTCTCTCTTTTTGTTGATCTCGATTTTTCTCTATGATCTAAATTTATCCAAACTCAGAAACAATCGATATACGAAATAGTCTATTTCGTCATAAGATACAATGAATCAATACGGAGTAAACTTCGAAATTCTTATTTATATCTTTTACGTCGATTTCTTTCCATAAATATACGCATTGATGACATTCTACTACTCAGTATAGAACTTTCCATAGAATCGAATGATTNNGGCAAGAATCATTGACGTGAATCCACGAGCTGCTTCATTTTCATATGTCGTATTTTCTTGTTTGATTGGCAGAGGATTTATCATACAGACAAGAATTTTAAGTGCAGGCAAGCTCTGCCTACATTCATTCTCAATGACTGAAAAATGTTTACGACAACAGCGGAAGAACTGGTCCAAGTCCGCATATGAAAATGTTCTTTTTGTTTCTTGTAATTCTCTTGTGAATTGTCCAATGAATGGATCGAATAATTCATACGATCTCATACTGATTATGAAGTATGAAAAAATACATAGACTTTCCCAAAATGATATGTCACCTCCTAAAAGAATTCATCAATGTAAGAAAACACATGTTTTTATACTGTTTCCGTACCGGGAGGAGATACCACGGAGGCACATTTGGCAAATATAGGATCGAATAAAAAGTGATCGTGCACAGTTATATCAGCTTTGAGAGAATATGGTGTGCTATTTTCATAATGTAAATTTCGACTGCCAACAATTGCGCGACAGATGCGTAACCGATAGGCACTAACGTAGTAGGGTTTGTTTTCACGTATAATACAAAATCGTCCATCATCGTACAAGCGAACATCCAATCGGAGACGGTATAAATGTGGAGCACCTTCAGATCGATGCGCAGCATTCTAAACGAATATTATTTCAAAGAAGACAAAGGTTCTTCTGTGTGTATTTCTTATAAGAACGCCTTAATCAAATCAGAAAGTTTCATTTTAAAGGTATTTTAATGTTCTAGTGGCATCTTGACCTCCGCTATCTCATAAAAACTTCGAAGTAAACTTACCCCAGGTCGAGTAAGAGGCGCAACATCTTCAAATATATATTTTTGTTTATAGTCAAATAGAGCTTGAATTTTCCAATTACTAGACGAATCGGTTTGACGCACCAGGTGTAAAGTAATGGTATATGAAGAAAATGGCGTCGTGTCCACTTTATTTGCTTCAACGTCTGCGTTATTGAATACTGCAGCATTATGAGAATCTTCGTTCTTTGAGTCGTCAGCCATGATCGTTATTTCTATTGATACTTCACAAATACTACAAATTGAAGAAAAGATCGCTATGAAAAAAAGAACAGAGTTATTCGTCTACAACTTTCAGTCATGAGTGTTTTTTTCTTTTCCTTTTGTGAGCAAGCGTGGTATGCAAGTAGCCATACAGCCATACTTTTGAAACTCATTGTGTGAATCATTTTCTACAGAAAGAAAACAAAACAATTATTTTCCCCCATAATCGTCCAATAGAATCAAATATAATATCTATTTTTTAGTTGGAAATTACCAACTATACGAATTCTACGCACCGCACAGCGGCATTTATTATTGTCTTATTTGTTAAGAGACTACACTTTCCTATCCAAAAACATTTGCTTCGACAGGAGCTTGTTCACAATAATATACAGAAAAAGACACCAGCTTAGGGGGGAGAAGCTAACGAAAAATTCATTATAATCAACTTGTTTATTCGGACAGAAAGCGACATGGTGCGTACTTCACATGAAATAAAATGATCGAAAATCCTTTAAAAAGTGTTCGCTTTAACCTAATAATGGCACAGTTAGTTCATAACAAATGCCAGAATTAGTCTAGTATTTCCTGATAGATATCTCCAAAAATAATAGTTGCGCTGGGAGATTCAATATTATTGATTCATCTTTCTCTGTCAAATATTTCAATTTTATTTATTGTACAGTACAACTATGTTCATCGAATAAAAATATACATCGCACAAAATTTATCGAAAAAAACTTTATTACAGAAAAGAGCAGACATCTGTCGTTTTGTTAGATAAAACATAAAATATGTAACTTCGTCTTATCTCGAAACAAACATATGCCTTTACGAAGTGCATCATTGGTGTCAAAAATATGAAGATGAGTCTAATTCATCCGATAGTATACATGATATTTGCAACCAGAATTCGAGATAAATCGCGTAATAACATCTTTTAACCAATTAACGAAAAAAATGTCAATCTGCAACGATGATAATCGCTCTCATTTCAATAGGAATTCTTTGAAAACTTTTCATAGATATGCGAACAGTTATATAATATCCTATTGCAATGATATTCTCTCTTTTTGTTGATCTCGACTTTTCTCTATGATCTAAATTTATCCAAACTCAGAAACAATCGATATACGAAATAGTCTATTTCGTCATAAGATACAATGAATCAATACGGAGTAAACTTCGAAATTCTTATTTATATCTTTTACGTCGATTTCTTTCCATAAATATACGCATTGATGACATTCTACTACTCAGTATAGAACTTTCCATAGAATCGAATGATT